CACATAATTTACTTATTAATGATGAAAATGAACAAGTGCTCATTTTTTAATTTTTTAACTTCATAAAATTAAGAGGTTTTGACCCCTAGCATCACCGATGAGTATTAGAAGGACAAAACAGCTGTATGGTGTGGTGTCATCCGCTTGTGGCTTACTGTATTATCTGTTATCAACTTGTATATGTGTGCAATCACCTGTCTGTGTCTTACCAATCACCTGTCTGTGTCTTACCTTTCACCTGTCTGTGTCTTACCTTTCACCTGTATGTGTCTTACCAATCACATGTCTGTGTCTTACCAATCACCTGTCTGTGTCTTACCAATCACCTGTCTATGTCTTACCAATCACCTGTCTGTGTCTTACCTTTCACCTGTCTGTGTCTTACCTTTCACATGTCTGTGTCTTACCAATCACCTGTATGTGTCTTACCAATCACCTGTCTTTGTCTTACCAATCACCTCTCTGTGTCTTACCTTTCACCTGTCTGTGTCTTACCTTTCACCTGTCTGTGTCTTACCATTCACCTGTCTGTGTCTTACCAATCACCTGTCTGTGTCTTACCTTTCACCTGTCTGTGTCTTACCTTTCACCTGTCTGTGTCTTACCAATCACCTGTCTGTGTCTTACCAATCACCTGTCTGTGTCTTACCTTTCACCTGTCTGTGTCTTACCTTTCACCTGTCTGTGTCTTACCAATCACCTGTCTGTGTCTTACCAATCACCTGTCTGTGTCTTACCTTTCACCTGTCTGTGTCTTACCTTTCACCTGTCTGTGTCTTACCAATCACCTGTCTGTGTCTTACCAATCACCTGTCTGTGTCTTACCTTTCACCTGTCTGTGTCTTACCTTTCACCTGTCTGTGTCTTACCAATCACATGTCTGTGTCTTACCAATCACCTGTCTGTGTCTTACCTTTCACCTGTCTGTGTCTTACCTTTCACCTGTCTGTGTCTTACCAATCACCTGTCTGTGTCTTACCAATCACCTGTCTGTGTCTTACCTTTCACCTGTCTGTGTCTTACCTTTCACCTGTCTGTGTCTTACCAATCACCTGTCTGTGTCTTACCAATCACATGTCTGTGTCTTACCAATCACCTGTCTGTGTCTTACCTTTCACCTGTCTGTGTCTTACCTTTCACCTGTCTGTGTCTTACCAATCACCTGTCTGTGTCTTACCAATCACCTGTCTGTGTCTTACCTTTCACCTGTCTGTGTCTTACCTTTCACCTGTCTGTGTCTTACCAATCACCTCTCTGTGTGTAACCTTCCACCTGTCTGTGTCTTACCAATCACCTCTCTGTGTCTTACCAATCACCTGTTTGTGTCTTACCAATCACCTCTCTGTGTCTTACCAATCACCTGTCTGTGTCGTACCAATCACCTGTCTGTGTCTTACCAATCACCTGTCTGTGTCTTACCAATAACCTGTCTGTGTCTTACCTTACCAATCACCTGGCTTACCAATCACCTGTCTGTGTCTTTACCAATCACATGACTGTGTCTTACTAATCACCTGTCTGTGTCTTACCTTTCACCTGTCTGTGTCTTACCAATCACCTGTCTGTGTCTTACCAATAACCTGTCTGTGTCTTACCAGTCACCTGTCTGTGTCTTACCAATCACCTGTCTGCGTCTTACCAATCACATGTCTGTGTCTAACCAATCACCTGTCTGTTTCTTACCTTTCACCTGTCTGTGTCTTACCAATCACCTGTCTGTATCTTACCTTTCACCTGTCTGTGTCTTACCAATCACCTGTCTGCGTCTTACCAATCACCTGTCTGTGTCTTTCCTTTCACCTGTCTGTGTCTTACCAATAACCTGTCCGTGTCTTACCTTTCACCTGTCTGTGTCTTAGCAATCACCTGTCTGTGTCCTACCTTTCACCTGTCTGTGTCTTACCAATAACCTGTCTGTGTCTTACCTTTCACCTGTCTGTGTCTTATCAATCACCTCTCAGTGTCTAACCTTCCACCTGTCTGTGTCTTACCAATCACCTCTCTGTGTCTTACCTTTCACCTGTCTTACCAATCACCTGTCTGCGTCTTACCAATCACCTGTCTGTGTCTTACCAATCATCTGTCTTTGTCTTACCTTTCACCTGTCTGTGTCTTACCAATCACCTGTCTGCGTCTTACCAATCACATGTCTGTGTCCTACCAATCACCTGTCTGTGTCTTACCAATCACCTCTCTGTGTCTTACCTTTCACCTGTCTTACCAATCACCTGTCTGTGTTTTACCAATCACCTGTCTGTGTCTTACCTTCATCCCTAACGAGTTGTTCACTGGTTGATTTTTCACTTTTTAAAATCTGATTACTGTTTTACTACAGGTAACTTTTAACTGTTTACAGATTACTGTTTAGTTATCGATAATAACTGTTTAGAAATTAATTTTTACTGTTTTCGGTTTAATGCACCGATTACTGTTTATATTTAATATTTACTGATCATTATTTATTATAGGATGCCAATTACTGATTCTCTTTTTCCTTCATAAACTACTTTGTTACTTCCAATGGTTCATATGACATTTCATTTTACAATGAGGTAAAATTAAAAAATTCAATATACCTGTATACAATCTGAACCCGAAATAAATAAAATAGACGACAAGTGAGACAGCAAAACAAATGGAAAGCCAACATGCCCCGACTTTAAGACTGAGACGAAATCACAGCAAACACCTGTCATGAAGTTCCTTCATAGACAGGCAAGTACGAAATACAGATCTACAACCATTACAGACAGACACACGTCATTAAGGTAGGATTCAAGAATATAATCTTTATACGAGCGTGCTTAAACATCGGTGTGTACCTCTCAATCATCTCTTCTGGCTTTGTTACATTAGAGTAGACGGATAGAATTAAGATTAATGAAAAATGTAATGGGATACTTTTCGTTGATGTTGATGGGCTAAATACCCCGTATGACACATCTGATATCGACAACCTCAAACAGTGTCAATGGAATATGGAACTAAATGGAATTTCTGTTTATAACAAATGAAAAGGTTTTTCAGCCTATGTGGATTTTAGATATTTTTTACATATGTTAATTCATTGTTACTCGTAAGAAAGAAAACAAGGATATCGTTACTGCCTGGCTAACCAGAGAGTATCCTGGAAACATAATTAAAACAAATGATGAATAATACATCCATAGGTCTAATGGGGTCATAACAAAGTAAATAATTCATATTAAGTTAAAGAATATTTACACATTTCGTATGAATAAACTGTCTACACAGTAACCAGAAATATCCAATGGTTTATTCTACAAAAGGTCATAATGTGTAGAAACAGAAAATATTCAAACAACACATCTGTCACTTACTGTCAAGATGATTATAGACCTAGCTAAAATTGTATATATATTCATCGCAGCAAGGTAGAGATATAACATGTTGATTATTTAGTGAGAAATGTATTCATGTAAATGTAAATACAATTAATATAATGAGAAATATAACTATAATTACAAACGTTACAGGTAACATAGACAACATAGGAACACAACTATACTGGTAACACAAGACACATACAGGTAACACAAGACACATACAGGTAACACAAGACACTAGGAATAAATCTCATAAAGACACCAACGAATCGTACAGGTAACACAAGACACTAGGAATATATCTCGTAAAGACACCAACGAATCGTATAGGTATCACAAGACACATACAGGTAACACAAGACACTAGGAATATATTTCATAAAGACACCAACGAATCGTACATGTAACACAAGACACATACAGGTAACACAAGACACATACAGGTAACACAAGACACATACAGGTAACACAAGACACATACAGGTAACACAAGACACTAGGAATATATATCATAAAGACACCAACGAATCGTACAGGTAGCACAAGACAAATACAGGTAACACAATACACTAGGAATATATCTCATAAAGACACCAACGAATCGTACAGGTAACACAAGCCACATACAGGTAACACAAGACACTAGGAATATATTTCATAAAGACACCAACGAATCGTATAGGTATCACAAGACACATACAGGTAACAAAAGACACTAGGAATATATCTCATGAAGACACCAACGAATCGTACATGTAACACAAGACACATACAGGTAATACAAGACACTAAGAGAATATGTCGTGAAGACACCAATGAATCGTACGGGTAACACAAGACACTAAGAGAAAATGTCATAAAGACACCAATGAATCGTACAGGTAACACAAGACACATACAGGTAACACAAGACACTAAGAGAATATGTCATGAAGACACCAATGAATCGTACAGGTAACACAAGACACTAAGAGAATATGTCATAAAGACACCAATGAATCGTACAGGTAACACAAGACACTAAGAACTTTTTTCATAAAGACACAAACGAATCGTACAGGTAACACAAGACACTATGAGCATATTTCATAAAGACACCAACGAATCGTACAGGTAACACAAGATACTAAGATAATATTTTATAATAAGACACCAATGATTCGTACAGGTAACACAAAACACATACAGGTAACACATGACACATACAGGTAACACAAGACACTAAGATAATATTTCATAAAGACACCAACGAATTGTGTAGGTAACACAAGACACATACAGGTAATACAAGACACATACAATTAAGTAACACAAGACACTAAGAAAGTATTTCATAAAGACACCAGCAAATCGTACAGGTAACACAAGACACATACAGGTAACACAAGACAGTAAGAGAATATTTCATAAAGACACCAACGAACCGTACAGGTAACACAAAACACATACAGGTAACAGTTCGTGTAGCATATGGGATGTAACCACTGGCCAATCTAGTATGAATTATTGTATTATTGTAGGCATTTTTAGAGGTCTGAAACAAGATACAAGTTAGCGGGAGTCGAACCCGCGCCTATCAGCACACTGAGACTCCAGTGCTGTTATATATATATAACGGCCAACCAGAATGTTGATTTAGTAACATATACTTACATAAGTCATAGGACCTAGACTGCGCTTTCCCCATGATGATGATAATAGGTACAGAGTTCCTTCAAAGAATTCACGTTGGACAACACACACGTTTTTTTTGTATCTGATCAGAGGTGAATTTCTCCGGCCAACAGTGTGAGAAGTTCAGTTGTGGTCCAAAGCTTTCCTTCGGGAACAGACAAAGAAAAGCAGAACAGAATTTTACAAGTCAACAGCAGCGCAACCGATACCTATCTACGATAGCTTAAGATAGGAGAGGGAAAACGAAGATTCCATATCAGTTCCAGCAAGGCCTGGATAGTTTTAGACCCCAGGACTTCTACTTATATTTTCCATTATTACATCAAACACGCTTACATTATGTATGTGGTTATTTATGTGAATTAAGAAGTTACACTTACCTCTCTTTAACACTATACGGAGCTAACTCGGACTGGTTCATGTATATCCCAACACTGTCGAAAAAGAGTTATCAAATGACATCTCAATGCAAATACAATGCTTTTAAATTGAGATGACATCAGCTCTATCAAACGAGTTTTATAAACGTTGAATTATATGCACATGATTCATCACCGTTTAAGTAGGGAAGGACATATGTTATATATACCTGTTGTATAGAAACACGATTACGTAACATGGAAACCCCACGACCGGAACAGAATTAACTTATTTTTGATAGAAGGGAATATTTCATTTTTTTTTACAATCGGACAGAGAAAGTAAACAGTATCAAGGAAATATCATATTGACAATGAAAGTACTTAACACCAATACTTAACTTTACAGAGTGAAACGCTTATCTAATTATATACATTTTAACAGCTTTGTCGAAAAAGTATTAAATGAATATATTCTAATTATCTTATATCTCGTTATTCCTTACCTATTACACTCACGGACAGTCCAGGTTGATCTTTTCCGCCGTCTGATTTCACGAGCATGTTACACACCCACTCGCCTACCTACGACAAGGCTCGAACGATCCGACGGAAACTCTGGACTGGACACGGAATCCTTGAGGCAAGTATTACTTTACAGACGATAAACGTACATGTCGTTCCTTCTTGTAGATAAGCATGAAGTAACTATAAGTATGCATTAAAGTCAAAATGGCCCTGATAAAGATAATTAGATAACAAAACATTTATCAATGAAATTCATATAAAGTTCTGACAACCAACACTTACTTCTACATTGTGTTGACAACGTGTTGTGATGTCCCATAACTTGACTGTGGTATAGGTCATTTAGTAACTGTCACTAGTAGAGGAACAAGAAACTCCTAATGCCAAGAAAAAGGCAAATTTTGGTAATTTGTTTATAAAAAAAAGAGAATTCAACAAGATAATATAATTTTAATTGATATTAACATCGATTAAACAGAAATCCAACATGCTTTTGTATTTGTTAAGAAGTCATGCAATGACAAAAGATATGATACTTTGAGTTTCATATCCTTCAATTTCACATTAAGATAATTATATCGATGGTAATACCCATTGATACAAAAGAGTTGAAAAAGAAAATGGCGTGACATTAATACTGTCAATAACATGAAATTGAATGCACCACTGACAAGTCGAGGACGAATTTCATTTTTTATTAGTCTGTTCTAAATTCCAAAATCTCAGATCACGTTTTATCAAAAGCTATTATTGGAAAAAAAACATCTGTGTTTAAAGCCGTTCAGTTATTGAGTGTCCATAATATTAAAGAATTGTGTATACTAGGAAAATTCATCTATGAGGCAAACAAATTAAGGGTATTATAATGGAATATGATTCTCTGTATATTGTCCATGATTTGTGTATAATATGTATTGTATACTGATGGGCCAATGGCCTTAAGTTCGAATAAAACTTGAAACTTGAGACAAGACAAGTTCGTTAAGAACACAATGCTGTGCTTGAACAGGTCCACATAACGAGACCATTCCACATTTTATATATCAGAAAAGACATGCAACAATGACAAGCCCCAGGTAAACAATTAGTGGCGTTAGGTCACCTACAGAAATATGTATCACCAGCCAGGTAATGTATGTCTATCTGTCTCGTACAGCACTGAGAAACTGTCAACAGGTTAATAACATACAGTTGGAAAAAAACAATCTTGCATATTCACCAATGTGTCTCAAGTTAAAACCTAGATAAATCATATACCGTCATATCATTTTGATGAGGACGATGCACCAACCAAAATCGACATGCTCCATTTTTTCTATTTTCCCAACTTAATACTTAACACAAATTGATATATTCCTATTCCCGTACATTTGATTGTTATTATTTTACCGAAAATAACACCACCCGGGGATTTATTTGTTTGGGCAACGGGTTTGAATTCTTGAATCATGCAAAAAAAAAAAAAAAAAATGTAGTATGTCACTTGACTTGTGTTTACCATTACAAGGCAACGAATTACAATAGTAATAATTATGTCATTATACAGGTGATATAAATGCAGATTTATACATATGTTTACTGTATGTGTAGCGACATTAATGGCTAAAAGAAATAGCAAATATTTAGTGTAAAAAAAAAGGAATGAAATTTGATAAAGGCACGAAATTGGATAGGAATGTCAAATGATTGATTACAAAGATAATACAAGCAAGAGTTTGGTATACCTGTGTAGCTGATGAATGTTGGAATGCATGCGTGAACGAGCAATGTCGCCATGTGTTAACGCTGTGGTATTTGTGGTTTTCTCAGTAGCCTACTGAGTCGTTCAGATTCTTCTTGCAGTAGCTTAAATGAGTTTTATTCACATATTTTTAGCATTTACAACTGTGATGTATAATAATGTTTATATATATATATTATTTATTTGGGGGACACCAGTTTTTCTAGGAGACAACTCGTGTCATCTGAGAGCATCACAGAAAAGCTACAGACTTATCAACGGGCGGACTTGGGGTCGAATCTAAATCTTAAACCCTATGGTACGTAACTTATAATGTCTTTTTTCAGGAGAGGCACGGCTCAATACATACGCACCTTACAAAGTATTTAATAGGAAATTAACCAGTTCTCGTTTATTTTTATATTCGTATAATAAATTAGGTTTACGCATATTTGCATCTTTCTCAACAGTAGTTCAGACCAATTTTAATTTTCACCTTTTTGCTCACTAACATAGTCAATGAGTCCTTAAAAAAACGAAACAGCTCTACCGTATATGACTAGATTGTATAGGTGCCATCAGCTGTGGTTGCCAACTATTTTAGTAAAGTTCTGTGCTTCCGTAATACCCGAATCATTCGTTGTGATGCTTTGTTAATCTTTCGAAGATTTTCTGTTGATATATTGCCCATGTCGAATCATTACCAAAATATTACACATTGTCGTCAGCCAATTCCTTACTATGACGACTTCTAACTCACCCTATAAATAAACGGAATTCTTTAACAGAGTTTGTCATGTGCAGGTGTGGAGGATATCGAATTCTTCCAAAGGCTGTGGAGTTTGAATCATAGCTAGGGCTTGGAGTCACAAAATTATAAATTAACCAACACAGAAATGGATTGTATAAAGAATTTAGACACCTAGTTAATAATTTGAATCACGGAAAATTTGCCAACTTGAGATAACTCAAGGTAGATAACTCTCATACATGTGTATAAAAATTCGTGGTTTTCGTGGTGATAACAAACACACTTTTCCCATTTTCAATTTGAAATGTACTAGCATTCCTTTAATTGTTTGTGAAATTCATATAAGATGTTTCAGTCACCCTGTCCAATAGTTTAGATCAACTAGGACTTCCACTGGTTTGGCCCCTATGGCATCTCGCCATATCACGATCTGTATGGTGCATTGCATTAGGTTTTTTGCATACTGTGTATATTACCAAATTTCGTAGGTGTAATCACATGTGTGTTCTACGGTCATCTTTGCTAAAGAATCACGAAAGGCAATAGGATGGTTGAGTTAAAATACTAGACGTTTGTTTGTGTGTATAGGATTTCAATCTACACTATCTGAGTAGCTTCAAATCACGGAAATTAGAGTACCCCAAACATTTCATGTACTCGGTAAGCCTTCAATGTGATGATACTATCATATTGCAATTATAGTAGAAGATCAAAGAAAGATTGCCGCCTTAGACTCTGATTAATCGTTCAAATATGGTCAAACTTCGATCTAATTAAGCATGAAGATGTATTATGACACTGCGACCTCTCTCACTGTTTGCATCTAATCCGGGAATAGTTTGAGAAACTGTAACTGCCACCAACACAGTTAAAAACTTGTTCTGTATATTATTTTATTTTGATATTATGATTTTTGAAGAAACAGGTAATGCAGTGTTTCGTTTTCATTAAGGCTTTCAATCCAATGTAAACTATTAATTATAAAAAAGTTGTACAGGTCCCTGATTTTATTTCCATTACAAGTCAATTAAATAGACTAGTCAGACATTTTCCTGAATAACATCTATACATATTATACATATTAAGCATGTACTCTTAATTGCAAGTGTTCTTAGTATTGTAAGCATGTTCCCTACGTACTATGCACAGGACACATTAAATATATCATAAGGTACTAGACAGACTCGGCTAGAAATCAATTACGTGCATGTGTTGCTTTACTGCCCCTGGGACATTTAAAAAAGATAATACTTGAAAAGTTATAAACGGTACTTCGTCAAAACAATATCAAAATAATATAATTTCAAAATATTGTATTAACGTGTTATACATGTTTATACGGTGTAATCGAAGTAAAAATTCCCAGCCAAATATTGACTTTTGCGCTACAAACGATTTTTAATTTGCATTTTGATTTCCCTAATTCTTTTCGAAAATCCACTGCATTAGATGTGATTCAACAAAGACAATAAGGACACATCATATATATTTTCCATTTTAATGATAAAAAAAACTATTCTTTATTAAAAAAATATATGCATTATTCACAAGAACAAGTATCGTAAAGTTTTAATAATCTAGTCTAAAGCTTCCAACATAACTCAAAGATGTTTTTGCAGAAAATTGACTAAATCGTTCATTGCTCGTATTCCTACCTGAAATGGCATAGGGCCTTTAAAGAAGAAGATCATCCCGTGAAAACCGTCGGGGTAGTGAGCGAGATGAACTTTAACCCCTGCTTTTTTCAAACGCTGATAGTATATGAGTCCATCGTCACGTAAGACGTCATATCCGGCTGTTAACACATAGGTCAAAGGCAAGTCCATGTTTTCTTTATCATCCACCATCAACGGCGAAAAATAAGGATCTAAAATTGTCTTTTCGAGGCTCGCCGACAGCTCTTCGTCTCCAAAGTCTGTCGGTTTCTCAGCATTGTATAACTCTGGATTTCGTATATGTTCCTTCATCAGCCATTTTTTATCGATATATTTGGCGTATTTGGACTTTTTAAGTGCCGGAGATGTGTGCTGGTTGTTTAAGATCTTCTCCAGATGATCGTAGCTGATGTTTCCATAGTTAAGCCAGTATGTCAACATCGACACGTCATTCAACATCCCGGGGATGTAGTTCTTGTTTTCAACATAAGACGGTGTCTTCATGTCAAAAAGCTGAAGGCACGGATATATTGGTATTTGGATTTTGATTTTCTTTTTAAGGCGGAGGGCTACAGCGGCGGTGAGATGTCCACCTGCACTGTCACCGGAAATAGCTACGCGGGAGGCATCGATACCTAGTTGTTTACCATTATTTAGCACGTGCTCTGTGACTGCTAGACAATCGTGAAATGGTATCGGATGCGGGTGCTCTGGAGACTGTCTGTAACTGAGAAAAGACAAGAAAAACATATTAAACAATTTGGGATAATTACTAAAAACTATATTTCATCATCTGATAGATGATCTGACAATCGTATAATTAACAGTTTAATCGTTAGGCTAATACATTTTTACAAAATTTTAAATTCGTTTTGAGTTTCAATTCACATATGATTCCATAGGCAAAAGTGTAAAGCCGGAACCGTCTACTTTAATGTACGTGCTTTGAAAAAGACATGTTACATATTTGGAACAGGACACTTAAATTAAGATATTATGAAATAAAATCAAAATGTAATATTATTTTCGATCAGTATTTTGATCCGCTGAGACTCACACATAAATGTAAATTTAAATGGAGCCACGTGTGCGCACTATTTCCAACCAAACCTGAGAATATAGAAAGACTTCAGGAACTTTGAATGTTTGCTGATTGTTTTAATCTTTTGATGTAGAAAAGGACATGTTGCGTCATTGGTTTTAAGAACATTAAGGAATACTTACGCCACAGAAACTACAACGATTCCAATCCGCTTGGCTAGCTCGCGTGTTGCCTGGTCGTACACATCTAAAATGTACAGTGGATATTAGGATTAGATTACAATCGCGAGTTTTAAAACTGTATTCATATACGTCAACACAAAACAGAGTAGGAGTGTCTTTTTTTAAACATAAACACTTTTCATTATTTCTTCCAGGAAAGGGAAAAGAATAATTCCTATTGAAACCAATCCATTGACATTCCATTTCTTCTACAGAAACTGAAAAATGATTGGGTATACTAATGAGGTTATTGATTCAATTGAAGAAAATTTACAAGGACTTATTCTGTAGACTATTTGACCAATAATATGACACGAAGGTACTTGGAAAAAACTACCTTCCCCAGATCTAGACGTACCTATGGACAACCAGGACCAGCCCCCGCCATGATAATACACCAGAGCGGGACGAGCCGTGTGAGGCCCTTTGACTGGCTCGTAAACCCGTACACCTACACCGGCGTACTCAGTATCGTAGATCTGTAACAGAAAAAAACCTGTCTCATTTACAAACAACGAAGATATACCCATGTACAGTTCAATCGTGAGTAAACTCCTGGAAGGGCGAGTGACGGAATCAACTACAAGCAAAGAAGTATTCTATCCTTTTTCGGCTAATGTGTATCGGTTGTGACAAAAGAGAAACAGAAACAAAATCAATCATTCAGAAACATGTGGAAATACTCTGCCCAGTTATCAGCAGACATTGATGGTCAATGACAAGGTGATATGTTTAGTAGGTGTATTTTGCTCAAACGATGCCGCAATTGCTAGAATTAACACAAGGTATAATTTATGTACATTGTATTATTCTTCATATCGGTTTCTGAAAGCTGGTCGACGACGATTTTTCCTCAATATTTAGAAAATAGCAGAAAGAACTGTTCCTGTAAATGTGTTCTATATGGGATTTTAGGCAGAAAGGAAACGCATTTTAGTGATTACTTTCCGCTTTCAGCTGAATAAAATGAAGCTTTCCCTGTCAAGTGTCTTACTGGGAAATAGTATCACCCTGTTTCATGAAGAGTGGTATGCTCAATTACGAAGTGTTGTCTTCAATAATACGTTGATACAAAAGGGAAACTTAGAAAATACTAATTCCAAATTCTATTGTACACTTTCAAACAGCCTATGCCTTCAATTTTAAAACAGTAAGAAGACATAAAAAGATGACCCTTTTTAACAGGGAAAGTCTATTTAAGGGTTGTACAGAACAAATCAACATGATATAATTATAGATAAGAGATTTAAAAATTCTGTGATCAAACATGACATTCTATAAACAATTGATATACCTTTAATTCAGGATCTGCTCCTAGTCCAAACGGACTTCCGGTAATCAAGGTTGTTAGGACAACGTCCACTAATTTCCTTGTGTACCACGTGACTCCGCCCGTGATACCGAAGTTGTGGAGACTCAGTATCTAAAGATAAAAGTGTTCATTGAAGCATGATTGATCAAACAGCAGCATTTGAAGCAGTTTGTTTAGTCAGTCGTTAGATCTATATTTTTCTATATATATACATATATATGTGTAGTGTCAAACTATATGAATATATCAAGAACGAAAATATCAAGCACGACTTTTGTCGTCTTCAAAAGACCCTCCAACAAAGCAACCCATATCCGACTTAGTTGGTATCCATTCCTGCCTTTTCTTTGACAGGGGATGTTTGAGAAAACTTGGGTGTTAAGAAAAAAATTCTCCGGAAAGTTGAGAAAATAGTGTCATACCGTGATACCTTTTGAGTTGTATGGAGATATATACGCACCGCTTTACCGTTGAATCTGAGTGAACTATCCAGTATCCGTGCGCTCCAGAGCTCTGTGACTCCCTCTGGAACCTGCGTGTCCATGTACTGGAACACCCCGAAGGACAATAGAGCCGTAACCAAGGCTGTCAGGATAATCTTGAGAAGGCTCATCCCCTTTCTCTGTGACTGCAATAGATAGTTCATAGGTTAGTAAAGTAAATTCCAATGGTTCCACGAAGTTGTACTGAGGGATACCACGTCTTACGATATAACATCTTCTCTGGCCCTCAGAATATGTCATGACTTACGAGTGGTTGGCTGATACCTTATTGAAGAGGATACAGCTAAATCAAAGTCGGTACATTTTACCTTTATGCTGGCGGGCGATTCCTTTCATCTTTGATCAAATAGATCACATGCATGCATAGTCCGAAATAACTGAATAATGTTTGCGGGCGGGGACAAATCATTTGAAAAGGAGGTAGTCAGTTATTCGGACTAAAGTATGCAGTTTCAAGGTTGGTCTACCCGTATCATCTGCAAAGTGGCGCGTAGTATACAGAACCTTCCATATTTTATGACATATTTTTAGGGAAGAAAAGGATATTGAGAGGGGGAACCATTGGATTTCGGAGATGTTAATACTTATGTTCTACTGCCCATGTAAGATCACTGAGGGCATGCTTCTAGTCTCCAGTTTGTCATTGATTTGGTTTTGTCATGTTGTATGTGGTTCTATGCAGTTGTGGCATATTGTCTTAATAAAACACCGTTTTTACTGGTCAAGATATTCTAAGAATGAATATGTGTGTCGTTGACCGATCGGGAGTGTTTAGAAGTGTGGTGGCTGATTGGTGCGTCCGGATGAATTTGTGTTGACTAATAGTGCTTCATTAGGAGTTTGTGCTGGCTGGTTGGAGCCCCTGTTCGCGTAAGTGGCAGCTAATTGATGTCAATTCGTTACTTTTTGTCTTTTTGTTGCTATATACACTACGTAATAACAAGAAGAAAATACCGAAATAGTATCATTCATCTAGCGTACGGGTGTTTCACAGATATCGAAAGCTCCGTATGAACCGTATTTAAAATGTGGTTATCTTTGCGGGATAAGTTTATAACTCTACAGAATGCCATTGGCGGTTCAGTTGCTCTTTAATATGCTTTTCCAACAAAATATGAATAAAATTTTGATGTTTGATGTTGAACCGATTATGTAAGTTTGGTAGAGTGTATAAACATATCCCTACATCCAACTGAATTCGTATCCTTTTGTATGTCATAGTCAAACTTTAACAAAATGGTACGCTTTACCTTGACCGTATGTTCGGTTAAAAACTTTCCCATGGCCGCCGCATCCTTTTTCTTTCCTCCCTTATGTACCATGGCTGTCGAGAGAAAGGACAGGTTTATGATGAGTCGGTGTAGTATAAACGTTTAAGTCACAATTAATCGGAACTCTATCCTCGCAATTCCAGGTGTTACGCTCACTTTACTCCCGAATTTACATGACAAAATCGAAGGCATGCGGTAAGTTTTTTTTATGGGTGCGTTAGATACCGTAACCCCTGGAATTGCGATGACGTCAGAACATAGACTCAGGTTTATTTACATAATTCCATTGTCATTGGAGAAGGTAAAGCAACATACGGATGAACCCTAAAAATAGACGCCGTTCGTTGCCTCGCCGTCACCTAACAAGGTAAGTACTACATCTTACAGTGTCTATTTCAGTGTCCGGACTATATTTACATTTCCATTGCAAGTTCATCTATAAGCATTTCCATGATAAATTGCGTTCATAGGCCTATAAACGCTAGGGGTGTGAACGTAATTAGATCAGCGTCGATTAACATGAGACAATTAACCTTTAGAAGCAAACATTTTGGTGACGTTAGTTACGTTAGGCAGTTCTAGCATCGAAAACATAAGGGAACATCTTTGTTTGTGTCAATAATAATCAAGAAAATTACCAAACAAGAGATGTAAAAGTTAGCTCCGACTAGTTGGTACATGTGCAAAGATAGAAACATCATCATAAATTTTCTGAAAAAAGAGCTGTATAATTTGAAATATCTTACCTGTGTTGGTGTTGCTTGTACAATATACAAGAAATGACCGCGTGTGGACTGTCCGGAGTTACATGAATACGTGGCAGGGTGAAGGATTCGTCCAGACTAGGTCCTGTCTGATCTATATATTACTATAGTACTATAGCCGTTATCTCATGTGAACCATGTGTCAAGGTTTAGGTCGAAAGAGATAAGCAATATCCAGACTGTGTGTTTGAGCAGTAAGCTATTAGTATTATGTTGTTTACCGGGATGATGTTAATGATGTAAGACCTCAGATTAGTGCAGCCAGGTGTCTAAATACTAATATTCACACGAAAAGTATGGTTCCTTTTCCGTGCCTGATTCTGTCTGAATGTGGGGTGGGAATATTTTCTGTGTTTTTATCTCTCTCCTCGTGTGAAGGGCATGTCCAAAACACACACACACATATTAAGAAGGGTTCTGGTACAATCAGGGGCATTTTAGAGTGCAATTAAGGTTTATAATATAATTAAAATTGAGGAGATTTCAAGGTGTTTTGTTTCAGTGTAACACAGTCAAATTATAATAAACATCAGTGTGTTTAAAAAAGAATATTCGAGCGAAGCAAAGGGATTTTTTCAGTGGTTTACAAACTAAATTTTGATGTCCCGAACCATCTTAGACCCCTCCTCATACAAAACATATATGATAATTTGAAGAAAAAAAATGAAATTATTTATTAATCTAAGGAGTAAGTCTCTTCCATTTTTATTGAAACAAGAGGCCCAGAGGGCCTGTATCGTTCACCTGTTTCTTTTGTTACATGAAAGTAGAACACAAGACATTCTAACATCTTTAAACGGTTCTGAAGATATTGTTGTTTGAAACTTGAAATTTTAAAGAGGTATGGCGGAAAACTGCCCGTATTGCCCTAAGTCGGCATTTATGAAAACGGGGAAAAAATTAAGGAGTAAAACATTTCGTGTAGCAAAAATGCATACAAAAGATACAAAACCAATTGAATATGAATTTTTAAACTGCTGAGAAATTAGGTATTGCTAATATGATACTGCAAATATAGCCAAATACACTATATCTATGAAAGTGATGGGGTTTCCTGGACTTAAAAAAAATACTTTCAACACTTTCCCATCCTAGGACAAACTTTTGAACAAACTTTTTGTGACCGTGATGTAATATGCAAAATCAAATCGTATTACGGAAAAGTGGTCCTCCTTTGGGAAAGTGTTCAAAATGATGAAAAACAGGAGTGATCAAGTCTCTCTAAACTGCGACCGGTGTTTCTCGGGTTAAATAAATTTGTAATTGCCAATGTGTAACGTAGTTTACTTGTGACTAGAAAATAAACGATGCAGGTTCGAATCCTCCTTCATTTTTTTTTTTGAAATATTTAGGCATGTGATCATTTTCCTTAACAAGGCAATAGTGGGTTTTTTAAATCTATGGAAAATTTTGTTTTCATTTTAATAACATATCTATTGAATTATCAGTTTTGTTAGTAATAATTTCTTTACTATTTAGTGCGACATACTTCTACCGAAGCATGTCAACAAATCCCTGTACACGTGTACAGTACAGCTACGCAATGTAGGTAAGACTATTTTTGATGAAATTTATGAATTGTTTTACCTCCAACTGGCAATAGTAATTATATCAAGTGCTTAAATACCAACAAATAATGCCGAAATACCAAATATGTGGTCTGTTTACAATAATCTTTTCTTAGACACGGGATTCCGATATTGCTACCTGTATAAAAAATACCAGAGGACGCGTCATAACAGTGCACGGTTGGATGCGCGCATTAGCGTAACATAGCTTTGGGGAAATGGGCATAGCAACCCGCCATATCTCTTTAAAGCTTTTATCACAAATTGACCTTTGACTCCCTTGCACTTAAAGTTGACCTTTGTCATTTCTGCAATAAAGAAAACAATTAACACAGCTGGTCTACATAACATACACAAGTATCATGATTCTGGTTCAAATCCTTTTTAGGATATTGTTGTTTGAAGTTTTTAACATATTTGACCCCTGTGACCTTTTAATGAGGTCAAGGTCATTTTAATGAGGAAAATTTATAGCACTCCATCCCAGGTACCTACTGGCCAAATATCATAACCCTAGGTCCTACAGTTCTTCATAAGAAGTCGTTCAAAAGAAAAAGTTGACGGACGGACAACGGACGAGGACGCCGCAGTACGGTATAAGCTCATATGGCCAGAGGAGCTAAAAAACCATTGAAGCTATGTGGTTGATTTTAGTGTTTTGAGAATATCTTCAAGAAGAAAATATCTGTATTTTATCATATAGATATTATGGTTTCTAAAATAATGTTTGGTTCTGCAAACCATGAGACAAGCACTAGGGATGATTCTGTTTTTTAAGATGTTGGAGTACATAATATTACGAAAGCTTGGCAGTATTCTTAGAAAATATAAAAACCGTGAAACTTTCGTCGAGCCAAGTATTTGGCCTCCAATGTTAAATCAATAGTCGCCCAATGTTAATGTTGGCCTTCACATTTAATAACTATATATAGTTTGTATACTAACATTCAGTGTCATGATAAATTCACTCTCATTGTGGAAGACTTCGACGAACATTTCCCGGTAAACAGTAATTCAGTAAATTCGTCCAAACGAGGTTTTCAATGCTGAGCGCAGCAAGTTTTTCCGAGGAATTCTTTAAAAAGACACATGTTCATGGTAAAAAGAGGCCCTGAGGGCCTGTATTTCTCATAAAGACGTCTAAGCTACCTGACAAATTATGCTCCTTAAACCTAGTCCCAATATAAGAACCTAGGGATAGTACCAGTCCTGGTAGTCATATGTATCCAAACCTTCATGCTGAGCAATGGTGTATTTTGATATAGAGAGGGGATATGAAATGTTTCCATGTTAATACCCAGGGAGTAAGTCCCTAAAGGTGAAGGCAGACTCCATTGAAGCATCTCAACTGTTTTACCCAGGAAGTTGCCAGACATCAGGGTCAATTCTTAAATTGTGATTTTTCTGCCCATCAATTGTATATATGGCTATGGGGTGGGGATGTCAATCATTTCAAAGCAATGACTCATGGACTAAGTCTTCAATGGTGGGGCCAGACCCCGGACCCTTCCTAGTACCATATGTGTATTTATCTCTATGTATACTTAGCATTTGTGAATATAGTTACAGGGTGGGGATCTCAACTGTTTCCAAGTTATAAAACTTTTGGACCCTCGCTCAGCCCTTCATTGGTCCATTGTTCCTAGGGATGGTGCCAGAACCCAGAGTAACTTCTGATATCACAATTGTCTCTGTATGTCCAGCGATTGCATTGTATGGGGATGGGATGGGTATAATTAGGTCTCCAGGGTTGGGGCCAGATCTCCTGACTGTCCTGGGACCATTTTAGTCTCTATATACAAGGTTATAGTGGGGATCTGGACCATTTTAGTCTCTATATACAAGGTTATAGTGGGGATCTGGACCATTTTAGTCTCTATATACAAGGTTATAGTGGGGATCTGGACCATTTTAGTCTCTATATACAAGGTTATAGTGGGGATCTGGACCATTTTAGTCTCTATATACAAGGTTATAGTGGGGATCTGGACCATTTTAGTCTCTATATACAAGGTTATAGTGGGGATCTGGACCATTTTAGTCTCTATATACAAGGTTATAGTGGGGATCTGGACCATTTTAGTCTCTATATACAAGGTTATAGTGGGGATCTGGACCATTTTAGTCTCTATATACAAGGTTATAGTGGGGATCTGGACCATTTTAGTCTCTATATACAAGGTTATAGTGGGGATCTGGACCATTTTAGTCTCTATATACAAGGTTATAGTGGGGATCTGGACCATTTTAGTCTCTATATACAAGGTTATAGTGGGGATCTGGACCATTTTAGTCTCTATATACAAGGTTATAGTGGGGATCTGGACCATTTTAGTCTCTATATACAAGGTTATAGTGGGGATCTGGACCATTTTAGTCTCTATATACAAGGTTATAGTGGGGATCTGGACCATTTTAGTCTCTATATACAAGGTTATAGTGGGGATCTGGACCATTTTAGTCTCTATATACAAGGTTATAGTGGGGATCTGGACCATTTTAGTCTCTATATACAAGGTTATAGTGGGGATCTGGACCATTTTAGTCTCTATATACAAGGTTATAGTGGGGATCTGGACCATTTTAGTCTCTATATACAAGGTTATAGTGGGGATCTGGACCATTTTAGTCTCTATATACAAGGTTATAGTGGGGATCTGGACCATTTTAGTCTCTATATACAAGGTTATAGTGGGGATCTGGACCATTTTAGTCTCTATATACAAGGTTATAGTGGGGATCTGGACCATTTTAGTCTCTATATACAAGGTTATAGTGGGGATCTGGACCATTTTAGTCTCTATATACAAGGTTATAGTGGGGATCTGGACCATGTTAGTCTCTATATACAAGGTTATAGTGGGGATCTGGACCATTTTAGTCTCTATATACAAGGTTATAGTGGGGATCTGGACCATGTTAGTCTCTATATACAAGGTTATAGTGGGGATCTGGACCATGTTAGTCTCTATATACAAGGTTATAGTGGGGATCTGGACCATGTTAGTCTCTATATACAAGGTTATAGTGGGGATCTGGACCATGTTAGTCTCTATATACAAGGTTATAGTGGGGATCTGGACCATGTTAGTCTCTATATACAAGGTTATAGTGGGGATCTCGACCATTTTAGTCTCTATATACAAGGTTATAGTGGGGATCTGGACCATTTTAGTCTCTATATACAAGGTTATAGTGGGGATCTGGACCATTTCAAAGCTACAAATCTTTTTGGCCCTGCCCCAAATTGGTACAATAGCTGATATTCATCTCATAATTATAGAGGTCACTCAAAGCAGCTTGGCCAAATTATCTGTTTGGCCCCATGCCTTAGCCCCCTGGGGGTTCAGCCCCTCAACTTCTACAAATTTGAATGTGTACCACCCAGGGATTTTTACTTCCAATCAATGGTTCTGAAGACGAAATTGTTTTAAGAAAGAGTTGACACACAGATGCCAGATACCACAGTATAAGCTCACCTGAATTAAAACAATAAGGTGAAATAACAGGTTTCTGTCGATCAAATTCTCAGAGCTTTGGGCTCAATGTAAAATAGTTTTGTTCCTTTTTTCTTAGTTCAAAAGAGATCAAACATCAGTTTTTTGAAGTGCATCTATTTAGTTTTGATAGGGGTGTAGGCTGAGGTTTGAATACTTATCTCCCTTTAGTTTCTATTTTGAAGGAGATTGGCAGTTATTTTGGACTACCGTATTTTACCACAAATAAGCCCCCACCCCTAGTGAAAAAACTAACACCAAAAGTAGGGAGGGGGCTTAACTGCAGGCACCCATCCTGTTACCAGGACATTTGCCAAAGTGGGGAGGGGGCTTATTTGCAGTAAAATACGGTAATAGGAGTGTTACCTAAGCTGGCGGTAACATCTGCTCAAGGTCAAATAAAGAATAATAAAACTAACTAAGAGGTTCAATCAATCTCATGTGAATCTTTTTAAATGAATCGAGAAAGAGCAGGTAACATGTTACATTCTTTATCACCAATACATCCAGTGTAAACTCCACTAAATTTTAAAATAGACATTGTCCATTAGACCAGACACATTTAAGTGGATTATTCAACATTTTTTTCAATTTTGTGTTTTCAGATCTTAGTCACATTGGAGTGGGTTATGAAATGATTTGTTTATTTAGTTTTGTTTTTCCAGTTCTCTGACCTTTGACCTTCTACTTTAGTAGACTCTACCATGCTTTGATATGGACGAGTCCATTATGGTCTACAGTGGTGAAAAGGTTATGGAATATTTCAAAAGGAATATTCTTATTTTATAATTTGCCTATCAAATGATATTGTGATACATGTAACATAATTTTTCACAGAGGACCAGTAATTGAGAGTGATTCTGGAGTCCGTGCTGATATCTACTAGTCCCGGACTAGAGGACTAGTGTCAAACCCGGATTAAATAAGATCTGTAGTGTTTAACTTTCTGGTCTCTGTCACCCATGGATTACTTGTGAAAACCTGAACCAAACAGAGTGTGAACAAATAAGAACAACATTATAGAGCATTTCTGTTTTATTGGTGTATAGCACTGTTATGTATTAACCCAGTAACCCTTCTGTATAACATGAGCAAGCCCTTCATATAGTGCATATACAGGTATTACAAAATGAAAAACATTAAGGCATATTACGAAATATTTCATAATAATCTATCTGTTCATTATTTCAAAGGTTTGAATATTGCCATCTGTTTCTTCTTTCTTATCAGTAGCAGAGAAATTTATTTTTTCATTCTTTTCAAATCACAAAAATAGATATGAATTCAGTAGATCCACCTTAATGCAAAATAAGCATTAAGTTTGATATTACTATGTCCACAGGGATACTACCAATATACATGTGAATGTGTAAAAAAATAGATTGGCACCTTTTACCGTAAATTTAATTTTACTACATTCTATTATGTACCAATATTAGTTCTACTGAATATCAAAGCATCATGTACTTACCTAACTCAAACAGAATAAACATTATACTGTTAACAGTTTAACTTTCCAGTTGATGTTTTAGTCAATTACTAACATTTAAGCATAAATAGTATAAAATACTCTTCCTTGTGTATAAACCAAATAGATATTTAGAGTTAAGTGAATGGAGCCATCCATTATTCTATAAAGTAAGGAATCCTGATTCTCATTCGGGAAAAGCTGACACTTGAAATGTTATCATGCAGATCAAATGACTATGGCAAGGTTACATCAGATCAAATGACACTAGTCCATATGACCTTGGTGATGGCAGCACCAGTCAAGATGACCTTGGTGAAAGTACCACCAGTACAGATGACCTTGGTGATCATACCACCTGTCCAGATGACCTTGTTGAAAGTACCACCAAACCAGATGACCTTGGTGAAGTACCACCAAACCAGATGATCTTGGTGAAGTACCAACAGTTTTAATTCAGATTAGCATTTTTATAAATAGATATAAATGAAGGTGACCTTGACCCCTCCACTCTTGGGACCTCTAGTACTTGAGGTCTCCACTTGTCAACCTTGCCCCATGTTGCCAAGTAATCACTAGTCCTTGTGATTAGTCTCTAGTCGTTAACTATTAATGTTGTTGTCATGATAATTTCTAATCCTTGAAGGAGCCCCCTGTTTGACTGAGATGACGGATGATATCCATCCAATCGTGGCCTCGTGGAAGGTCTCCCTGGGAGTTCAGTTTTTCATACATTCTGCGCTTTTGGTTTTTAGTGAATTGTTCTTTCCTTTCTTTCTTTTTGGACTGCTCCATTACATTACCATTAGATTCAGATCTGTCTTCACTCTGTTAAAATTATACAGGCAAAACTTATTACAGGATATACCGACAATAAACATCAAATTGTTGAAAGTGAGATTCCAGGTTGTTGTCTCAAGTCTCACTCAGGCTGGAGGCTTTAGCCAAAAATGGCAGTGAATGTGGAGGAAGCTAGGGACTAATACAGTAATTGATGGTGTGCTTACTTGAACAATGTGGAGGAAGCTAGGGACTAATACAGTAATTGATGCTGTGCTGACTTGAACAATGTCGAGGAAGCTAGGAACTAATACAGAAATTGATGGTGTGCTGACTTGAACAATGTAGAGGAAGCTAGGGACTAATACAGAAATTGATGGTGGGCTGACTTGAACAATGTGGAGGAAGCTAGGGACTAATACAGAAATTGATGGTGTGCTGACTTGAACAATGTGGAGGTAGCTAGGGACTAATACAGTAATTGATGGTGTGCTTACTTGAACAATGTGGAGGAAGCTAGGGACTAATACAGTAATTGATGTTGTGCTGACTTGAACAATGTCGAGGTAGCTAGGGACTAATACAGTAATTGATGGTGTGCTTACTTGAACAATGTGGAGGAAGCTAGGGACTAATTTAGTAATTGATGGTGTGCTTACTTGAACAATGTGGAGGAAGCTAGGGACTAATACAGTAATTGATGGTGTGCTGATTTGAACAATGTGGAGGAAGCTAAGGACTAAGACAGTAATTGATGGTGTGCTGACTTGAACAATGAGGAGGAAGCTAGGGACTAATACAGTAATTGATGGTGTGCTTACTTGAACAATGTGGAGGAAGCTAGGGACTAATACAGTAATTGATGGTGTGCTTACTTGAACAATGTGGAGGAAGCTAGGGACTAATTTAGTAATTGATGGTGTGCTTACTTGAACAATGTGGAGGAAGCTAGGGACTAATACAGTAATTGATGCTGTGCTGACTTGAACAATGTCGAGGAAGCTAGGGACTAATACAGTAATTGATGGTTAGCTGACTTGAACAATGTCGAGGAAGATAGGGACTAATACAGAAATTGATGGTGTGCTGACTTGAACAATGTGGAGGTAGCTAGGGACTAATACAGCAATTGATGGTGTGCTGACTTGAACAATGTGGAGGAAGCTAGTGACTAAGACAGTAATTGATGGTGTGTTGACTTGAACAATGTGGAGGAAGCTAGGGACTTATACAGTAATTGATGGTGTGCTGACTTGAACAATGTGGAGGTAGCTAGGGACTAATACAGCAATTGATGGTGTGCTTACTTGAACAATGTGGAGGAAGCTAGGGACTAATTTAGTAATTGATGGTGTGCTTACTTGAACAATGTGGAGGAAGCTAGGGACTAATACAGTAATTGATGTTGTGCTGACTTGAACAATGTCGAGGTAGCTAGGGACTAATACAGTAATTGATGGTGTGCTGATTTGAACAATGTGGAGGAAGCTAAGGACTAAGACAGTAATTGATGGTGTGCTGACTTGAACAATGTGGAGGGAGCTAGGGACTAATACAGCAATTGATGGTGTGCTGACTTGAACAATGTGGAGGAAGCTAAGGACTAATACAGTAATTGATGGTGTGCTGACTTGAATAATGTAGAGGAAGCTAGGGACTAATACAGTAATTGATGGTTAGCTGACTTGAACAATGTCGAGGAAGCTAGGGACTAATACAGAAATTGATGGTGTGCTGACTTGAACAATGTGGAGGAAGCTAGGAACTAATACAGTAATTGATGGTGTGCTGACTTGAATAATGTAGAGGAAGCTAGGGACTAATGCAGTAATTGATGGTGTGCTGACTTGAACAATGTGGAGGGAGCTAGGGACTAATACAGTAATTGATGGTGTGCTGACTTGAATAATGTAGAGGAAGCTAGGGACTAATACAGTAATTGATGGTGTGCTGATTTGAACAATGTGGAGGAAGCTAAGGACTAAGACAGTAATTGATGGTGTGCTGACTTGAACAATGTGGAGGAAGCTAGGAACTAATACAGTAATTGATGGTGTGTTGACTTGAACAATGTAGAGGAAGCTAGGGACTTATACAGTAATTGATGGTGTGCTGACTTGAACAATGTGGAGGAAGCTAGGGACTAATACAGTAATTGATGGTGTGCTGACTTGAACAATGTGGAGGAAGCTAGGGAATTATACAGTAATTGATGGTGTGCTGACTTGAACAATGTCGAGGTAGC